CCTGTCCCTGGGGGTAGGGGGGGCCAGCAGCCCCATCGCGGGGGGGGGAGGGGGCTGCCCTGCTTGCGTTGCAGCATCCTGCCTGGCTGGCCAGGGGGCTGGAGACCCCTGGGTGGGTAGACAGTGGCACCATCGCCTGCGTTGGCCCCCACAACAGGCTGGAAGTTGATAAATAATCTAATTCATGGGGCTCCCATCTTCGGCTGGCTGTCCCTGGCACCCCACGTGCCTCTGGGAGGTCTCGGGAGGTGGCAAGGGTGACGGAGACCTGGCTTACCGCTGCTGCAAGGGTGCTGGTGTGTTTCTGGCAGGTGATTCTGGGGCTGCCCTTCCTGCTGGTGAACCCCGTGGGGTACCTGACACACGCTTTCGACCTGGGCCGCCAGTTCCAGTTCAAATGGACGGTGAACTGGCGCTTCCTCCCAGAAGAGGTTTTCCAGCATCGGGCTTTCCACATCACGCTGCTCCTGGCTCACCTGGCTGGCCTGGGGCTCTTCGCACTGCACCGGTGGCACAGGTGAGACCCGGGGTTCCCCATGGGGGCTGGTCCCCGTCAGCTCATCCCCATCAGCCCCCATGGTGCAGGATATGGGTCTGTGACCCCCCTGTCCCCACAGCACTGCAGTCCTGGGGTTGCAGGCAGGAGGGAGGGGAGTTATTGTTCTGTTTCAGGGCATCCTGGCTCACAGGGGAAGGTTGGGGTGGGAGAGACTTTCAGCAGCTGAAACTGATGTTTGTGCTTCCCCCTTGTGCTAGGTCCAAAGACAGCATCCTGGCTCTGCTGAAGGATCCTGCCGAAAGGAAACACCCGTCCCCTCCCCTAACCGTCAACAATATCCTTTGGCAGCGAGGGGAAGGGGAGAGGGCAGGGCAGGGCAGACCTTGGGATCGGCGTTCGCAGGCTCCCGGTCCTGCCATGCCATCAGGACCAGCCTGACCTGGGAGAAGGAGCTGTGCCGCATGGCTGGGGAGCGGGATCGCCCCCTCCGACTCCCGTTTGTCCCCTTAACGCCAGCGCACAGATCATCTTCGTCCTCTTCTCCTCCAACTTTGTGGGCGTCTGCTGCAGCCGCTCTCTGCACTACCAGTTCTACGTCTGGTATTTCCACACGCTGCCCTACTTGCTCTGGTGCACCCCTACAGCCAAGCTCACCCACATGCCCAAGTACGTGCTGCGGGGTCTGGGAGCAAAGCGGGGGGGTCAGCATGTCTTCCCTAGGCTGACCCCCAGCTTTCTTCCCTGCAGGGTGCTGCTGCTGGGCGTGATCGAGCTCTGCTGGAACACCTACCCCTCCACCGTCTGCAGCTCCCTCTCCCTCCACATCTGCTTGCTCTGGTACGGCACGGCCCCCCCACCAGTGCCGCACAGCCCCTCACCAAGCAAGAGGCCTGCACCCGTCTCCAAGAAGGCCAAGTGACAGCGTGGCTGGCCGGACGATGGGAACTGGCCTCCGGGACTGCCCCTTCTGCCTGCTCTTTCCCCACCCGGCTCCCAGGCTGGCCCCGGCCATCCCAGGAGACCCATGAGCTCTGGAACTGTGCAAAGGGGGCAGCATGGGGGCTCCCAACAGGCAGGACTTCCCCAATAAATGGGGCTTTGTGTGCCCTTCCCCGGCTGCAGTGTCCTCGTGCTGTGGTGATCGAGGGACAGGCGTGCCTCGGGGAGGCA